ACGGCTATAGACAACCCAGCAAAAGAGTATCCTGCATATGCCACGATATCCAGTAAAGGTGCTTCACCACTGCCAAGGGAGAAAAGTGTCATCTTCAGCAACAAGCATTGTAAGAACCACCCGACCAAACCCTTCATGAACAACCAGTTTATTGCTTCCGGGCTAAACCTGGGAATGGCAAGCCAATACATCGCACATTAGAACACGATATCAATCCTCTGCCTATGTGAGGAAAAAAAGGAATCTATGGTGATTCTGCCAATGATGTGTCACACAGAAAACTGTGGGAAAATAAACATTTGAGTTTTGAATTCACGCTTGAGATGCCCTAATTGTACTAGCTCACCTTCCCTGCAGACCCAATGATAAACCAGCAAGGACAACGTAGGTGCCAAATGCCATAAAAGGGATGTACAAGTCCGGAGCGTTTATGTCATAGATTGGGGGCTTATATGAGAGCCTGCCACCTACTGGTTCTGTGATCCTTGTCCAATGGCCCTTTACAATCATTAAAATAGCAAGTTGTTATTTGCAAAACCCGAGACTAGAGGAAAATTGGGATGAGTTAGGAAGGGGGACAAAAATCTTACCCTATGCAGGAACGGAAAGAGTACAACTTTCAATTTGTTCCTCACATACTGGTCATTGACTTGGAAGTAGTACTGGGGATCCGAAAAGTAACGGCTTATCTGTTCATATAAAGAAGTTGCAAAAAAAATGAATTTTGATTAGTAGCAACAAATAAAACAGAGGAAGACCATTTCTATCCAACCACCGCCCCCAATATTATTTAATAGAACTTCTAGTTCCAATTAAGTGAAATATTAACTATCATTAGGCATAAATGAAAGTCACTTCTTGCAAGAATGATGTTAATATGCAAAAAAAAAGTTCTGAGAGAATGGATGAAAACAACCCACCCTTGTAAGCTACTTACATTGCTTTGTACGTATTCTGAGCTTGTACCCAGAATTTTCTCTCCATATGCACCTAGCCCACCTCTTATTAAACCAGATCCTGCACCAATGAATGGATTTCCAAATGCATTTTGCGGCACAGAAGTTGGTGGTCTGGGAACTCCAGGTTGTGCACCTAGATTATCAAACATTTCTGTAACAGGAAACAATAGTACTTAACCACAATGGACATCAAAATAGCTTCATCTCTCTATATGTATGATTAGGAAAGATTAATTTTGGGTATGATTGGATCTTGGAAACTGATAGGGAGAAAGGGAGAAATGCTATGAAACTATCATTTCTGTAGGGAAAAAAATTAATGTCAGGTATCATTTCTTTGTTTCCAATTCCACATTCCTCTTATGTTTTTCTCTTTATTTCAAATTTTGAATAACAAATGAATTGCATCCTTGGAACCTTCAATATGCATGATTATGCGCTCTGCACTCTGCAGTTATAAAAATTAAAGGTTGCAATATTGAGGATAGTGAAATCTTTTCTGTCTTGTGATCATAAACCACCAATTTTATATTGATACAACCAAGGATCTAGCCCTCTAGGGTTTACAAAAAGATACATTGCAGAGAAGAAAAGCATGATTCATAGTAAAATTGAAATCTTACTATTGTTGTTTTTTCAAATGTGGATTATATGCATAACACAAAGCGCATAAACAAACAATGAAGACGGATCCATGTCATGGAGGGTACAATTAACGAATCATAATCAAATCAACACATATTTCTTTCGGATTCTTAAAAATATGCACGCATCTGAATCTCTAGAATTCAAGAGCGTTTGATTTAATTGTTGAAACAATCGAAGATTAAGGATTTAAACTTGCCTGTGGCGGAGGGTTTGATGGTGAGGGGGAACCGTCGGTCGGCAAGCAGCGGCTGAAGGCGAAGCGCCTATCGGCGAGCGGCGGCGGAGGCGTGTGAGCGTGGAGAGACCGGTGACGAGTCGAAACAGAAAATTGAGAAACCAGAAATTGCAAGTCCTTTATTTTACTGCGGAGTATCTTTTTTGCAGTATGAATTAAATTTTATTTATAATCAAATAAAAATTATACAAATCAAAATATATTTTTAGATAAAATATTACTACCTCCGTCTCACTCTCTTTGTCCACATTTGACTTTTGAAACTGTTCATCTAAGCACTTTGACTCATCAAATTCTCTCAATGTGTAAACCTAAATATAGTCATGTGTGATATTGTTTGATTTGTCTTAACATATAGATTATTAATATATAATTTCTATAATTTTTTAATATACAAATTACAAGATAAAATGGATTAAAGAAGTGCATTGGATGGTGTGCCAAAAGGTAAGTGGACAAAGAGAGTGGGACGGAGGGAGTACTTTAATAATGTTAAAGGTTAAATCTAATAAATATTTTTGAATCATTATATGATTCAAAATTTATTAATTTTGACTATAAAAATGAAAATTCGATAAACAATCTAGAACCAAAATACTCCATACTGTAATGCCCAATATTTTCTACGCAATAATTTCGTGATAGCTTTGTTCGTTTTGATTTTAACTATTAACTTCTTATATTTTTTTCAACTCTTTCTAGTTTCTTTCAAACTCTTCAAGTTTTTTTTCTTCAAATTTTTCAACAATTACTTAAAAAAAATATTTAGGTGTATTTTCATATTATTATTATTACTTCAATAAAATAATAAATTGATTTCATGTCATTATATATTTAATTAAAAAATTCCTCGAGATAACTTTAAGTTACCAATATAGAGTGAATGTAAATTATTAAAACTTTAAATTAATTAATTTATAATTCTCTATTTAATTAAAATATGATTATGTTAAATGTGATGCCATTAATTATACTCTTATCAACATTATTATATATGTTACAAGCCAATAAAATAAAAATAAATAAAATAAAATTTTTAATTTATCATTAGTGTTAGTTTTATGATATGATGTAATTTACTTTTTACCTAACTATAGTTTTATTATACCTTTATTTGGGGTTTTTTAAATGAAAAAAATAGAGGGTGTATTTGGCTTACCTAAATCATATTTTGGATAATTATTACGGAGTATATAAAAAGAATAAATCATGTTAAATAAGTAATTTTTAATGCAAAATTGACATCGTGATGGTCTCATCAAGTAATTTTTTGTGATTGTTTTAATATATAAATAATACTGTAAGATTTAGTTTTCGATCAAGACATTGTTATATATTATTTGTGGCCAGATTTTCTTTTAACTGAGATTAATAAAAAGTATTGATTCATTGGTTTCTTTATTTTTGTCACATGCATTAGTAACATAGAATAAGAAATGAAAAATTATATGATAAAAATTAATTTTAAAAAGTAAATAAAATAAGAGTACACAAAAATTACTAATATGATGATAAAATAAAATGGTATAGAAGAAAATAAAAAGAGATAAAATAAAGTATAAGCTAGATTATAATTATTTAAATAAAATATGAAAATTATACGGAGTAAAATAAAATAATTATTTCAAAATTTTTAATTTTTCCAACTCTGATCTTTCCAGTATCTTGTAGTTTCTTCCAAGTTATTCAATTTTCTTTCAACATTCAATTTTATTTACTACTAAACGAACATAACCTTATCGGAGTATATGTCTTACGGAGTACGTGTTTGAGTAATTAATTAACACGGAAAATGAATGAAAAATGTTAGTCTAGGATCTAGCACATCTTTGTAAAAGGTGTATCTATGTCGATAAATAATGTTTCACATTTTTTTAAATCGATGAAATGGTTAAAGATAACTTTGTGCTAACATGTAGATGGATAAGCATTTATAGTCAACAAATAATGTTAAAAACATATGTAAACCAATAGCTAGGTAGAAGTATGATAACTTTGCTCTATTTGTTAAAAACCAATATTAGAGACATTTCTGATATGTTTTTCTAAAATGATATGTTAAGAAAAGCAATGCCTGTGAAAAATGCATACATTGTGAGTACTCAAGTAATATATTCAAAGATATTATATGAAGTTGGGAGTATTTTATGAAGGGCTTGACCAATATTAGGCTAATTTTAATTTTCTTAAAAGAAATTACATCACAACAATACTACATTCTTCATCACATGAAATTTCTTCATTTTTTAAAAATCCATTTTCTCTTTTTCAAATAAGAACTTTCCTTTTTTCAAATCAATATCTAACCTCTATGATTTAAATTTTCAAATTTTGAATACTTCTTTAAATTTCTGTGAAGTCTAAAAAAATAAGTTCAAGGGCACGGAGTTAAATAAAACAAGCCTCGCATCCAAATAAAATGATGATGTACTATTCAAAGATTGTGATATGGAGAAATTTTTATGTAATTACATATAATCATTGATTATTTGATATTCAATAAAATAATATACCTATACAAGCTTTTGAGTATATTTTTTTAAATATACATATTTTATAGAGTACTAATTTCATTACGAATTACTCGTTATCTTAGTTTGACTTCACGAGCTTAAAAGAATTGTTGAAAAGTAAAAATGAAGATGGTTAAAATTTGCTTAAGATTGGAATTTATTTAGAATAAAGAAAGACAGTAATCTAACCGTTCCTAAATCATTTACCATTTATGCAAAACGAATTAAGATCTCAATATTCTTAAATTTATTTTATTTTGAAGATTAGTATTTAAATAAAAAATAAAAATTACGTATTTAAGAAATATATCAAAAATTCTACAAAAACAAGAAGTGATAAGATTATTTTATTTCATTAAATAGTCTATAAAATCACACAAATAAACAAAAATTCTCGTAATTTTTGAATTGTAAAATACGGAGTATTAAAATATTGGTGTATTTTTTTAAACTATATTTTAATTTAAAGTTTTTTTTCATAAGTAAATCTTTCCCAAGACTCCAACAGTAACCCGGCCGTACGAGGTTTCAGGACCAACCTCAAAAAGTGATTGGGGTTCTGTCGTGTCCTCCACCCACTCCTATGTTCACACACACACACCCTTCAGTGTTTCCAACTCGTTTGCCAAAGTAAAACCCATTTCCCAAACACTGCTGTGGACCATTCTTGTCCTTTCTACACGGTTTCTTGTTTTAATAAACGGATCATAGATTCATAGAGATCAATTCCTCCATTTTTTGTGGATTTCTGGTCACCGATTTGATCATAGAAACATAAACTGATAAACCACTTTTTTCTCTCTTCGAAGTCGCCGCAGATGGCCTTGCCGCCGTCTCTGAACTCCTTGCCGGTGGGCTACCGGTTCCGCCCGACCGACGATGAGCTCGTCACCCACTATCTCAAGCTCAAAATCAACGGGTTTGAAGACCAAGTCCGTGTAATTCGCGAATTAGACATTTGTAAACTCGAGCCATGGGACTTGCCTGGTCTGTACATTATTATTATTATTTCCTTTTCGTTTGTGATATTGAAACAAGAAATTGGTGCACAATTCTGGGTTTGTGCAGATTTGTCTGTTGTCCAATCACATGATAATGAGTGGTTCTTCTTCTGCCCGGTAGACCGCAAGTATCAGAACGGGCAGAGGATGAACCGGGCTACCGAAAGAGGGTACTGGAAAGCCACTGGGAAAGATAGGAATATACTCGGTAAAAACCGAGTCTTGGCTGGGACGAAGAAGACTCTGGTGTACTATGAAGGCCGAGCTCCGGGTGGAAAGAGGAGTAATTGGGTGATTCATGAGTATAGGGCAACCGACGGTTCCCATGATGTCCAGGTCTAGACATTTGACATATACTGCCGTGTGTCGTGACTCCACGAATGACATCAAAGTTGACAGTAATGACAATGACTGTGCTGGTCGTGTCAATCTTGGTGTCATTAGGAGAGTTTTGATGTTTTTGAACTTGTGATGCATGGAGTTTCTTTCTTTCATCTTGCAGGCCCCTTTTGTGCTTTGTCGTCTGTTTAAGAAGAATGCGGTGAAGAAAGATGAAAATGCTGAGAGCCCGGAGAGCGAATGGGCTGAGCCAAATGCATCTCCTTGTGTAACGGTCAAGTCACCCGGAGAAGAAGATGACAAGTCAGAGACTGTGACTCCAATAAGAAGCAATCAAGTTGAAGCACTTCCTTCAACCTCAGAGAAGAGTTCTTTGGAGGAATCTCCAGTTTCTCAATTTCCTAGTGAAAGTAATAACGTTGTCTGCACTCTTGGTAAGGATGCAGAAGATAGTTGGATGGACTTAGCTTCACTTCCAGTAAGTAGATTTTTTTTTGTTTTTAACCAATGCTCAACAATGTGTGTGTGAATGTGTGTCCGAACCCTTTTTTTATGGATTTGTTAGTAAAGTGTCAACCGGATGAGCATGTCTTGAGCTACTACTTCTATAAAGTTGATTTTTTAGGTTGTAACAACAAGAATTAATGTCGTGTTTGGGTCTATTAACGACTTAGACTCGAAAAAGAGAACAAAGATTTCAAAATTGGTTTGCTCCAACTAGCCAATATAACTGACGTTTAAGGTCTCGGCAACTTCTCAATTTTGAATTTTTAGGTGGAACACAAAGGATTGATAAAGTTAATGACTAAAGGATACATTTTTCTTTTCACTGCTTGACATTTCAGTTTGATCCCGAGCTGGAAGAAGCATTGGCAAGCCTTCGCGACCCTTCAGAAGAACAGCTAGACATGTTTTATTTTCCTCGTACAGAAATGCACGGGTTTGGATCTTCCTATGCATATGAGGCTGCTACTAATGACAGTGGCATAAATTACCAGTGTGAAACAAATGGATTTGATGAGAATGATTTCATGAACTCGGTCCTTGTTAATTCAGACGATGTTCCATGGGGAAATGTTGGACCAGAAACCATATCTTCTGAACAGGCTACGTACCATCTTAACACTATTATGAAACCTTCAGTGATGGACAATGGATTCTCCTGTGAGTCAGATGTAGAGGTGACATCAGGACTGGTAAGTTCAAAGGTCTTTAAAAATGACCAAGCTTCTTTTGACACCCAACATGAGTTTCTTAATATGACATCTGTCCATTTGAAAGTCCTACGGTGCTCTATAACCTCTATTCGATCTTGAAATGGTTTA